AACTCCTGAAAAATTGGCCACTGATCTCCACATGTACACTACAACACACACACACACACACACACACACACTCAGAATCAGTAATTTTGTTTTAAAATGCAAGCAGTTCGGGGCTGGAGAGATGGCTTAGCATTTTAAGAGTACTGGCTGTTCTTAAAGAAGACCCGGATTCGAATCCCAGTATTGACATGGCGGCTAATAACTGTAACTCCAATTCCATGGGATTTAACACCCTCTTCTGTCCTCCATGGGTACTATATAGCATGGGTGCACTTACATACATATAGGCATTAACACTCATACACACAAATTTTTTTAAATGGGCTGGAGAGATGGCTTAGTCATTAAGACACCAGCTGTTCTTGTAGAGAACCAAATACTCATGCAGGCTCACAAACGTATACATAAATAAAAAATAATAAATCCTTATAAAAATCCAAGCTTGAACAGACACTTTACAAGTAAGAAAAATGGCTGGTAAGTACATGAAAAAGTATTCAGCATTACTGTTCATTAGACAAACTCAGATTTAAAACACCAGAGACACAACCACAATACTCATCAGAATGATTAAAAGTAAAAAGACTGATCCCACACCAAACGTCAATAAGGAGATGGAGCAGCACAAACTCTCACATGTTGCTGGTGGAAATGTAATCTGTAATCTGGTTCAACCACTTTGCCGAGTGGTTTGTCAGTTTCCTAGAGCTAGCCATATATTTACTTACTGACCAAGCCAACAATTCCCCCCAAGGTATTTATCCAAGAGACATAAAACTTTTGGTGTATGCATGAAGGTGTATGCAAATGTTCGTGGAAGTTTTATTCATACTAACCAAAACTGGAGAGTGAGTCAAACAAAGCCCATTAATAGGAGAATAAACTAGCTGTGATCTATTTACACAATGGAATGTCATTCACCAAACTGTTGACACAGTCAACATGGATTCATCTCCACAACATGAGACCAGACCAAAAGATACGTATACTTTATGATTCCATTTACTGACACACTACCACGGCAGTGAAGGCATCCGAACAGGGACTGGTCAGCACAAAGAGCTGAGTGTGAGGGAAGAGTCCATGTCCTGAGGGGACCTTAGTTCTACATCTCACTGTATGTAGATCATACACCAATAATAACTTTAAACGGTGTGCAAAACGCATGCATATTTGCTGGCAGTTATTTAAGTGTTAAGCATTATGCCTCTGCAAATATGTGGGTATTTTGTGGCCTCTTATGAGAGAGTATGCTATGGTTCATGGCCTTCAAGTTAGTAAGGTGCATCCAGCATTTTATTTTAATGAAAGTGACCCAAGAGAATATTAGTATGCAATAAAAAATATCAATGTGTCACATAGTTCAGGATTGTTTTGTGAACATAAGCTTGTGTATAACGAGTTTTGATTAAAGGCTAATTTCTTCTTGTGGATTGCAGGAAAAACAAAGTTTCAAAGCCATGCTCAACTATATTGTTGTACTCAAAATTTCTTCTAAACTGTTGATTGGAGATCTAACGTTTAAGGAGTATGCTGCCACCAGGTGGAGGTCATATGCCACAGCTACATGACAGCCAAGGGACAGTAACAGTTTGTGTGCCATGGACCTTTCTTTTGCCAACTGAGAAACTGTTAAAATGTGCCCACAATGTTTTCAAATACACAGCATGATACATATGATTAGAAAGAAAACTGATTACACTAAACTTCAGTCATCACAATTTTAAAAAGGCAAAGTTTGCAATACAGTAATGCACACACATTTTGCAAGGCACTGGCTCTAATCACATACTGATGGATTTCGTGACAACTATACATCAAAGGCAGTGAAGAGCATTAATATTGTCAGAGATCTGCAACAACTGCAGTAGGAAAAGATGGGGAATTTCTAATGGTCACAAGAATTGCTAATACCATTGGATTTTGGATCCTAGGCACTTATTAGAACTTGGTCAAAATAAAGCTGTAACTTTTTTTTTCCCATTCAAGTTCACTAACAGTTTCAATTAAACATAAGCCTAAGGTTCAATTGGAATTTTGTTACCACTTTATGATTTTGACCACATTCCAGTCTAAGTGTGATAATAAATAGGTTGGACTTTTTTCCTTCCTTCCTTCCTTCCTTCCTTCCTTCCTTCCTTCCTTCTTTCCCTCCTTCCCTCCCTCCTTCCTCCCTTCCTTCTGTCCTTCCTCCTTCCTTCCCTCCTTCCTTCTTTTTTTATGTGTATGGGTGTTTTTCCTGCATGTATGTAAGTGCACCTGTGTTGTGCAATACCCATGAAGGCCAGAAGAGGGCTTCTGATCCCTTGGAACTTATTACATATAGTTATCAGCAGATATGTGGGTGCTGGGAACCAAGCCCCAGTCCCCTACAAGAGCAACCCGTGCCCTTAACCTCTGAGTCATCTCTCCAGCCCAGACTTCTTTCTTTCTTTAAATCACCAAATCTTATACTAGCAATTGAACCTTCCTGGGTTTCTAGAAGACTCTTGTTAGGCAAGCAGTCCCTTCTCCCCAGTGGTTCTCCCTTTTCAGTAAGCAGCTTAGTTTCCTCTAGCAAGAGCCTGAGCAAACTCCCACACTAATCAGAAGTACTCTGCCTTTCTAAAGTTCTCTACTCTCAAAGCTTTGCTTCTTTTTTCCCAGGAGCAAACAGAAGTGAAAAAAATAAGGCTTCTTAGCACAGCACATGCCATGGCCTTCCTTTCTCCTCTTCTTAATTAGTATGAAGCTGTTTCTACTCTCAGAAGAAAAATTCTCCAGCTGTCTTCAGAGAGGAAGAACATGGTAACCATCACTTCTTCCTCAGGCCAGGGCTGATCATTTTAGAGGCAAGTTGCCTCTATAAAGTTCAAGGGCTATGAGAAACAGCTTTGCATCCCATGCATCAGGTTGTACATGGACAGGTCAGGGGCTTTTTCGTTCCTACCCCTCTACCTAGAGGAGGCAGCCTACATCATGGGGTCACCCCAACTTTGCCCATTCCCGAGCTTTTTTGAACAGATTACCTCATCTTGTTGGTTTTGTTTTTAATGAATTCTCAGACACATCTGTCTCCTCTTGATCCACTGTTCATACCATCTCCCACTTAGAATATCAGAGCTTTTCTTAGTGTTGTACAAGATAAATCCA